ACCTCAAAGTGTCCCCCAGTTCAAAAAGCCTGGATATCTTTGATGACTGTCCCTTAAGTTAAAAATGCTGCTGCTCAACACCTGGTTGGTCAATGGGAAACTAATGACCATCTAGGACATAATCCTGCATGAGTGCTCCAACCTGGTTTAAGAGACTTAGCTGGAAGAAGCTGCAGGTCAGTCTCCCAGAGCTTTGCCCTTCTAGGTTCTCTGGGCACCAACAAGTGAAACCTGTGGGCAGAAAAGCAGTCCTGCAATGATTTTTTTCATTATTCTGTTCCCCTTACTATTTATGCCTCACATAATCTGCTGGGTTTGTGTGTATATGTCAAAGTGGATGCCCTAAACAGAACAGGAATTCTGTTGGTCTACTGACTATGATGCTGCTCTACAGTCTCCTTCATGCATGAGCCAAGTTGGTCTTGGTGCTAGAGTCCTCTCAGCGTGTGCTGGAGCATTTCAACATCAACTCTGAGACCACTTTGTCAGGAGTGGCTTAGGACTTTGTCTCTTCCATGATGATGACAGATCTCACTCAAGTGATAGCTGGTTCTTATCATGTTCTTGGGCATACGCTGGACCTGCTTTTCTGTTCCAGATAGGCTGGATGTGAAGGAACGTTCTGTAGTGGACAGCTCACCACCTTGTGAGGTTTAGACTCACTAGAAATAGGACCCTCCTAAGGATGGCTTCTGGGGAATTTCCTCTCACTACAGTAGATTACAATATCAAAGACCTGGCTGATCTCTGGAAAGGGGAAATGCCTAGGGGAGTACTTGGAAATGGTGCCAAGCTGTGGTGCCAAGCTTCATATTCATATAACCCCAGGACACAAATATGAAGCTTTGTTGCACATAATGTATGCCAGGAGCAGAAGAAATGTGCATGTCCATTTCAGTTCTTCTGAACCTGTTGCTGGCTTTTAATACCATCTGAAATGGTACTTTTCTGGGCTGTTCCTCTGGGAAGTATTTTATAGTGGCTATGAGTGATCTCCCCAAAAGGTGATACTTGAAGACTCCAGTTCAAAACCCTGATTGTTGCCTGGGCCCCCTCTGAGTTCCATTATTTTTTCATGGTTTTTAGCATATGTATGGAAAAGGTTGTTTGAAATTCTGCAGTTTGGTACCACTGGCATTTATCATTTCCATCAAATTCATAAGAAACCGAGTTCTAAATTAGTGTTTGATGTCAGTAATGGACTAGATGAGAATGAACAAATTGAAGCTTAATCCAGACAAGACAGAGGTACTTCTGGTAATTCAAAGGGGAGATCAGAGAAGAAGGATTAAACCTGTGTTGGACAGGGAGACATTCTGTTTCAAATCTCAAGTTCATAGTCTGAGTGTGCTCCTGGATTCAGCCCTGAGCCTGCACTCTTAGGGTTTTGGTGGTGGCTATGTGTTTTTGAAGTTAAACTTAGCACCCCAGCTGCACCCATTTCTAGAAAATTCTAACCAGGTCATGGTCTGGCCTGTGGTGAGGAAGGGCCTTTGTTGTTGTTGTTTTGTGAAATGGCTTTTCAGTTGTGTTAATTCAATGCTTACTTTAATGTGAAAACCTGTATAATAATGATTTGATGCAATTATTTATTGCGTTTTTAGGTGCCTTTCTTCATCACACTCATGTTATAAGCTGCCTTTGGCCCTAAATGAGAAAGTGGTGTGACATGAAATAAATAACACAGGGTCATGAACCATCTATGGCAAGAATCGATCTAAGGGGCATAGATAACTCCTTAGTGAAAAACAAGGGATGGATTTATATAATAAAAAAAAAGTTTAAAAAAAAAAGAAAGTCCATAAAAGGGTCCATATAGAGTCTCTCCATCCACAACTACATAGGAGCAATGTTATGAACCATCTATGGCAAGAATCGATCTAAGGGGCATAGATAACTCCTTAGTGAAAAACAAGAACACATTTAAAGCTAATTCATAATTATAATATAATTCACCACAATGAGAAAGTCCATATAAGGGTCTATCCATCCACAACTACATAGGAGCAATGTCCAAAAACTGCATCCCAGTGCAGTTAGAGTCCAATGAATTTAGTGTTTCAGCCTTTATTATTTATTCACCCTTTCGTCTTTTGCTCATTGTTCTGTGGTCGTTGTTCTCTGTCCCCAGACTCTTGTTCTTATTAATGATATCTACTCCAATCTCCAAAAGCTGCGAGGTGTTAAAAATAAAAAATGGAACAAGAACAAGCAGTCATGACCACAAAAGGATCTAATCATGGATCTGACTCCAGTCAAAGTATCAATTCCTTAACTAATGTTGCATTATTATGTTACTACATCTTCCCCCTCTCCAAACATACGTCTTGGCAACTTCTGTTACTGTATAGGTTTCTCTCTCGCTGACACTTCATTGGAGCCCCATAACATGTAAGGACTGTACTCGCCCTCCAACTAATCTGAAAAAAATCATTAACTTGGACACCCCCCACCCACCCTTGATGTTGCTGTCCATGAGGCGATTCACTGCAATTGGCAGGTCTGTTTCAATAGTCTTCCTGAAAACAAACACAGGGCAGGAATAGTTTGCTGGGTCATCTGCCTTCTGTATTGGGTGCATGGCTGTCCAGTTTAGAGAGTACAACTCTTATTTGACTCTTAGTCAGCAATTGTTTTCCTATGACTACTGCTCGGTCTGCCTCCAGGGAAATTCAAACTGCCAGTCTCTAGTATTTCTCATTCCCAGTGTTTTTGCTGCCAGCTCTAATAATTCATTGTCTCTGACTGAATGAGAGCCTTTGTTTGAAATGAGCTGAAATACTTAAGTAACATCCAGAAGAGGAGGAAACAGGAAGCAAACTCTCAGTGGGTGGAAGTAGAATTGTATAAATGTTGAAGACTATGAAATATCTTGCATAGGAATTCTCTACATAACTCTCCTGTTATTCACAACTTTACACACTGATTATTTGAACACATGCACGGAGAGTGAGAGAGGGACAGAATACTTAGGACATTAGATTTAAAATTTATGAACATGCTATCATCACCAACATCAAAATAAGGCATTAATTAAGAAATTATGTTAAACGGATAATAAGGTCATTCAGACTCATCATGGCTCACTGCATCAGGAGCAATCAGTATAGTCATTAATTTGTGTATATTTAAGGGATTATTTTATTCACATTAAATATTAGTTATTAGTTCAGTTAGCTCATTGCCTGCTGTAATGATAATTTTATTTAGAAACTATCACAGTGCAATATTAAACCCATGGAATAGGTCCCAAAGACATCAGTCATGCTACCGATACTCTTAGAACCTTCTTTATTAATACCAAAACACAATTTTTCTATTATATGCATAAACTTCTATAGAACACGATTCTGCATATTTATTAAATTTATTTGAATGGTTTATAGGATTCTGTAAAATTCATAGGACGTGTCACTAAAGTCCAAAATATTACTACTCAGTGATCTTTTTGATGATATTAGCCTCAAACAATCATAGATATGCTAGACATGATGAGTCTCTTTCTGTCTACTTTGCCTCTGCTCCATAACTACATTTGGTGAAAGAAACATTTGTTCCACAGAGAAACAAATGTGTTAAGAGAAACTCAACACATTTGCAAATTTCCATAAGCAAGCAATCCAATGAGCTCCAATCACTGCAGCATCAACATTCATGTAAAAGTGAGCATTGTAGCCATCATTATAACCCATCTGAAATATAATTTGTAGCTGCTTAATGGTAGCACCATAACAAACCACATTTTTCACTACAGTAAAGGGTAGGAGAAGAAAAACTTCACAGGAACTTGGGAAGTTTCTTTATTGCAGGTCAGGCCATTGTTCCTTCTAGCCAGTATTGTCAAATCTGAGGGCTAATAAGATTCACTCCCAGCCAATTTGGAGATTAGTCAGTAGTCTCCCATTTGAACAGTGGTCAGGCCTGACCCACCTTAACTTCTGAAATCAGAAGAAATTCACTCTTCCCCATAGTCTACTTTAGAAACAATGAATCAGTGATGCTGCAATTTGATGGCCCAGTTGCCAAGGCTAAGCTGATTTATGGCTGCAAAAATCATTTTATTCAACCAGTCATACTACAAGACTTAGAGGCTGGAGTTGCAATTCATATATTTTTAAGGATCATAGCTGGTGTTTCTTCACTAGGGCTATATATAGACTTTTTCAACTGCTATGGCAGATGTATAACAATCTTAACATTTCTGTTACCCTTGAGAGTAATTGCTTTGTCATATCATGAAGAAATCGTTCTCTAACACCCCTGGGTCTTATAGTTTAGTCTTTTAAACCAAAATATATTCTTGCTAAGCTGCTGTGCAATTTATTGTTATAAATGAATGATTTTCCTTAACCTTAAGGAATACTCACTGTTACAAGTAAGAGACTAAACAAGAAACACACAGGCAAGCCAACAGATGATGTGGAAACCTTCTAGATCTCTTGGAGGCAATGGATTTGAGCTGATTTACACTACAGGAGAATGAGTTCCCTAATAATTTGACAGGCAAATGGTGAATGTCTTTTTATGCCCTTCACAATGGGAGACATTTAGAAACTGACAGCTGTGCCACTTTGTGCTGATTGATCTCAGTTTGTGAATTTTTACCTGTTTCTACCATTTATAGCCATATGCACCATAACTATTTCTGCATAATATTGTCTTTGCCATGTCTTAACTGCCCTAAATACATTTACTAGGAAGTAAGTTCCTGCCTTCAATGGAGCTTGTACATACATAACTGCATTTAGGATCCAAAGTTAATTTTAAGCTTCTCTGACTTATTTGTTGAAAGCATATTTCACCTACCAATACACCAGAAAAAATAACAAATGGCAGTGACTGCACTTACCTGTGATCTAAGTGGTGAATAGAAAAAATAACACCTGAGTTTAAGCGAGCTTGTTTGAGTGACACCAAAATTGTGAATTCATGTTTATTTCTCAGCTTCTGGAAAAGAAGTTCAGCTTTCTCTGGAGATGCTCTTATAGTTCTTGAAGTACCTAAAATAAAGTAAAGCATACATGACCATATTACAGCAAAAGCATTCTATATGTCAGTAACAGACAAGGCACAGAGACATATATAGTATTTACAGTTGGTTAAGCTTAAAAATAAAGGACAACTCAACCAACAATAAAATCTAAAAATGCTTGGCTGTCTTTTATCCTCATCCCATTTCATACAAAGTCAAGTATTTACAAATAACAATGAAAAGCGATCTGGTATTTTGTAATCTCTGTGCCTAAATACAGGAGGTCCAGTGGGGTTCATTTGAAATGTGGTGCTGGGGAGAGCTTTGCAACTACTTCAGACTGCTAGAAAGACAAACAAGTGGGTCTTACAGCAAACCAAGCCTCAACTCTCTATGGAGGCAAAAATAGGGAAACTGAGGTTCTACTTCAGGCACATAAAGAAATGGCAAGATTCTCCGGAAAGACAGTAACACTGGGAAAGGCTGAAGGCTGCATAAAAGAAGACAAAATACAAGATGCATTGACTCCTTAAAGGATGCTACAGGTTTGAGTCTGCAAGAGCTGAGCAAGAATGTTGACGACAGGACACTTTGAAGATAGTTCGATCACAGGGTCACCGGAAATTGGAGGCAACTTGATGGCACATAACAACAAATATAAAATCTAGGCTTCCCTTCTCTGAAGTCATAAGAGCGGCCTAAAAACTAGCTGTGCAAGACTTCCAACCCTTCTGGAGCAGTTTTTTGAGGTTTGGAAGGGCTACAGTAGGAAGGGGAAGTGATCTCTTACTGATTCTGCTAGATTGTGATATTCTGCCAGAAGTCCTACACTGTTACAGATAAGTATATAGATAAAATCTAAACATAGAAATTGCATTATGTATGATTCATATGAACATTTAAGATGTTTATCAAAAATGGGTTTAGTTCAGTTCAGGAAATCTAAAAAATTCCAACCAGTACTTGATTTGCATTAAAGCTGGTCATTAGAAACATTTGATATAATTAATTTCCTTGCAGTTTTCACTCAGATTGTTCCCTACATGTAGACATCCTCACTGTTCAATAGAAGTGCTTAATAAATTTTGAAGCAGCTCAGATGCAATTACTTTACAATGTTCACAGTTTCAGCTACAGCATACTAAGATAATAATATAATATACATTTGTATTCTGCATGAAGGTTTAGCTATGCATACATTTTCTGATAGTATAAACAATTGATTCCACAAAGGTAGCAAAGGGAGAAGAAGAAAAAATACAGGGGGAAACGTATTTTAACCTCAAGGCCTTAATATAGTGAAAACTGTACATTTATCATTCTAAATAAGGGTTAATGATGGGAGCTGTAGTCCAACATAAGGCTGAGGAAAACTGCCATACATAGTTTACTATCTGTGGAAGAAAAACCTCCAGGGTTAAGACTACTTTCATTCTTATTTCAAGACTATGATTATTCCAGTACAATTTCTGTTTATAAAATACACCTGTTACCAGCTTCCAGGGAGGGAGTAGATTCATTTAAAGCAGATATTCAAATTACAATAATAATAACTGTGTGCCATCAAAATTCTAACATGGCAGCACTTTCCAGAATTTTCTAGGTAGAGAATACTCAGAAGTAGTTTATCATTCCTTTCTGGAGTTGCCTGTCATCAACATACTGATGAGTCCAAATTCCAAAACTCCAGATGATCCTGGAGTTGCCTGTCATCAACATACTGATGACTCCAAATTCCAAAACTCCAGACGATCTCTCCCAGCAGTCTCATGTTGAACAGCATACAGGAGATTATTGATCCCTGCCTTGTAGTACCCAAAGGGATGAAACAGCCTCTCCTGGTACGATCCCTCAAGGAAGGAGCAAAGCTCAGATTATTGATCCCTGCCTTGTAGTACCCAAGGGGATGAAACAGCCTATCCAGCTGAACCCTCTGGTACAAGCCCTCGAGGAAGGAGCAAAGCTAGCAAAATGCTGTGCCATCAATCCCTAATCTGAGTCAGCCCAGGAGGATAGTGTGTAGTTGATGGTAGCAAAGGTTGCTGAGAGATCCAGGAGGACCAGCAGAGTCACACTCCCCCTGTTGGCCTCCTGGAGAAGATCATAGAGCAGTGCAACCAAAGTTGTTTCAGTCCCCTGACACAGCCTAAAGCCCAATTGTAATAGGTCAATGTCATCCAGGAATGTCTGCAACTGTCCAGCTCCCACTCTCTCAACCAGTTTACTCAAGAAGGGAATATTGGCAATGGTACGATAGCTGTTAAAATCGTCCGATGGAAGCGTCACCTTTTTCAGGATGGGCCTGACCGCTGTCTCCTTCAGATAGAGGGGAAGATAGTTAGTTGGAACTAAAATTGACCCCTTGAATCAGTAGGGAGTTGGTGAGTCAATTTATCTGTAATTCCAAATAAGTTGTGATTCAATGGACCTATTCCAGTTGTATCTTACTTCTGGATTTCATGGAGTTACTGTCTATAGATACCACTTCTAAGAGATACCTGCAAATAGGTTTTAAAGAATCCTTTTGTTTCCAGGCTGAAAAATCAGCTCAACCCTTCACAAAGAAAGCTAAGATTTCACACACTCACCTCCAAGCCATCTCTACCCTTTGTAGATAAAAATAGTTCTGTTCTCAGCCCCTTAGGGAAAACTTGCGGAATAAAGAAGAAAAAGGGACCAGAAGGTTACACTTTGGAGTGCGCCATAATAGTAAGGATGTGATTAATGTATTACTTGTGCTCAGTAGGTCCCTGCATGGGGTGACTTCTGAAAGAGTGAATGCTTTCCATGCCACAGGAGAAAGAGTCAATGTTTGCTGTCTCCAGTGCCAGTTCTTTCCATATGCGGTCAGCAGTAGCTTATTATCCAGCACAATTTATGGAGCAATTTTGTACCCCATAACAACAATTAGGTGTCCATGGTTTTTACTTGTGACAAAATTATTTAAGTCTGTTGTGTTGAAGTGTTCTATAGAGTTTTAATTTATATACCCAAGATTGGTGAAATTATTATCTGTGGGAAAAGTGGGGTGACAGTCATTAAGGTGGAAAACATTAAAAGGGACTAAGACAAATTAATGTAGTGTAAGACTATATGTATCTATTAGTCATGATGCTTGCACATTACCTCTGGGATCAAAGGCAGCATGCCTCTGGATGCCAACAGAGAATGAGGGATTATTTAATTGAGTCTTACTTAAAATTTCATTAAGCCTCACTGACCACTGTGGGCAACAGGATGCTAGGCTAGATAGTCCTTTATTCTGACCAAATTGGAGTCTTCTTATTTTCTTAGTTACTTAAGGTAAGGATGAAATAACTTCTCTTTCTAGGCTGCTCTATTTTACCTTTGGAAATATGTCTTTTTATAGCTACTTCTTCAATAGGTGACCTGACCTTAAATCTACTTCTAACTAACCTAAAAAAGGTTTTGTTAAAAAGTCCTCTCAGGTGTTTTTAATCACCTACAGGTGAAGAATAGCACCTTTCTTTCAGATATGATGAGTCTTCATGAAGACAGGGGAAGTGGCTGGTGGGGAGAGCTGCAAGATATTAGAGGTTGACTACTCCCTCTGCCTATTATGCTCCATACTGAGTGCCTCTTAGGAAACCATCAGAGTTTAGCCCCTCACAACCACTTCCTCCATCTTCATGAAGACTCATCATGTCTTAGTTGGAGACTTTATTCCTCAGCTGTAAGTGATTAAAAGACATAAGAGGACTTTGTTTTTTGTTAAAGGCTCCATAATTCTGGAGAATCCTGCAGACATTAAAGGCTCCATAATTCTGGAGAACCCTGCAGACATCTGGAAGCTATATTCCAAAACATATGAAAGTCCCATGCCTCATTTTGACACCAAAGTTCTAGAGTATCCATTTATTTAAAAAAATTCTCCTGGTCTTTGTAGCATCTCAGAAATGCTCTTCAAATATTCTAGAATATTATTATGCAACAGTTTATTCATCTGCAATATGCAATCTTGTGTAATTTACATCAGAAATTTATATTGTGCAAAAACTGCACTTAATTCCAAATTTGGGGGTGGGGGACCTCTAGTACACATGACCTCAGAAGGTGTAGCAGAGCTTAATAACTATCGAAAAGAACCAGATTTAGAGCAAAGACAGCAAAGTTATGAAATGTAAGAAATTGCATGAATAATCACTACTCTAGTACACATGACCTCAGAAGGTGTAGCAGAGCTTAATAACTAACTATCAAAAAGAACCAGATTTAGAACAAAGACAGCAAAGTTATGAAATGTAAGAAATTGCATGAATAATCACTAAAATGTCTAAGGATCCTTCATGAGAGCTGGAAATAAATTCCATTAAATAAACAGAAGCACTTGTTGCATAAATATGGTTTCAGGAGCAAGAACATCCTCAAAGAAAGATCCTGGCTCAAATAATCATGATGTTCTTGCCATTAGGGTCCAGGTATCAGTAACTGTAATCAGTAATCACTGCAGATGGTGACACCAGCCACAAAATTAAAAGTCGCTTGCTACTTGGGAGGAAAGAGATGACACACCTAGACAGCACATTTAAAAGCAGAGACATCACCTTGCTGACAAAGGTCCACATAGTCAAAGCTATGGTTTTTCCAGTGGTGATGTATGAAAGTGAGAGCTGGACCATAAAGAAGGTTGAGCACTGAAGAATTGATGCTTTTGAATTGTGGTGCTGAAAGAGCCTCTTGAGAGTCCCCTGGAGTGCAAGAAGATCAAATCTATCCATTCCGAAGGAAATCAACCCTGAGTGCTCACTGGAAGGACACATCCTAAACCTGAGGCTTCAATACTTTGGCCATCTCATGAGAAAAGAAATCTCCCTGGAAAAGACCCTGATGTTGGGAGTGAAGGCAAGTGGAGAAGGGGACAACAGAGGACGAGATGGTTGGACAATTTCACTGAAGCTACCAACATGAATAGGACCAAACCCAAGGAGGCAGTGGAAGACAGGAGGGTCTGGCGTGCTCTCGTCCATGGGATCACGAAGAGTCAGACATGACTTAACAATTAAGCAA